CAGTACAAAAGCCCTAGGTCAACCAGCTAATAAGAACTCTTCACGAGCTTTAAGTTAGGTTCTCTAAGAGCTATAAGTTACGTTGTCCACAAGCTATGAGTTACGTTCTCCACAAGCTATAAGTTACGTTCTCCACAAGCTATAAGGCTCTCGATTTGGTTCTTTTGAGAACTCTAAGAACTTTCTGAGTAGTTATATTTCTTTTGATAAGTGTCCATCGTATATTTCTTTTGATATTTCTAACCTTGCATCATAGTCTGACTCGTGTGCCCAGCGGAATTTTAACGCCAGACATAATTCTTGCTATTAGTTTCCTACAAATGCAGCAGACCGTTAAAAATTATGGATGGAGAAAATATAAATCATTTGTTCAGGTTGTGTTTCGATGATTCGATCTACAGCCTGAAATACAAAATATTTTGAACATTGGAAAATATATATGTATTCTTGTATGAAGTATTATCATGACAAAGTACATACGCCAGAACTAGTTACAGAGATTACACATTGTTACTAAAAGTTTACATGTATTGTTAATATGTTATTTACCCACTTGAGGAGGTTAATACTTCGACCAGCAATATTCTTTCGTTTTTTGAGTGAATATCTCTGTCGAGTTGTTGTGAGCTTGCCTTCACTTTCAATGCACACACAGAGGAGGTCGTTATAGTCACGACGAAATATATTAAACATGTTGAATACTTGCGCTACAATTTGCAAATGACGAAAAACTCGCAAATGTTTACCGCACTGTTCGCACACTAGAGCTTGCTGCTTAAATGCACTCTGCCACGAATGATATTTTACTACATATGCTAAAACAGGCTAAATGATCAAAGCTAATAAGATAGAAGTTTAATTTCTATAAACAGCTGTCATATTGAACGTGTGCGTTTTTTTCACACACACACAGTGAAGAATAAAAGTGCATGTTAAGACACGTTTACAATTATACCTAAGCATTTTCCTCTTGCTGAAGATGCTTTACTTGACGATAGAAATGTTCTTGTAAACTACGGTTCTTGTGCTCACGACAATTGCAAACAGCACAACCTTTGTATATCATTCACCAGAAATACTTCGAAAACGAGTTAAAAATGGAATTGGTTTTTAACTAATCTCATGCATGCTTGCAGGCATCAAAGTTTTGTTTACAACCAATCAGATGTCTTGAATTTATGTCTGGCAAGAATCATGAACATGCACAATGGGTCACGTCTGCAATTAGAGTACCTTTTTCTTTATTTTTGTAATACTTATACGTCTACTTTGTCTAATTTTAAGTCCACCTTTATGTCTCCTTTCATATCTATTTTTTGCTTTCCTTCATGTCTATCTTTGCACGCAATTTTCGTTTACTTGTTTGTCTACCCTTTAGTCTACTACTTTGTCTACCTTTGTGTCTACGATCTTGTCTATTTGTCCACCTACATGTCTTTTTTTACCTTTTTGTCTTTATTTTTCTTTTATGTTCACCTTTATGTCTACATTAATGTATCCTTTTTATGCCCATCTTTATGTGTGTAGATAAAATTTTAATTTTGTCATACCTTTATTTCTAACTTTATGTCTACCTTAGTGTCTACCTTTATGTCTACCTTCATGTCTACCTTTCTCTTTATCTTTATATCTACCTTTTTTCTATGTTTGTGTTTAATTTTATATCTACTTTTTTTCTGTCTTTGTGCGTACTTTTTGTTTATCTTTATGTCTACATTCTTGTCTACTTATGATCTTTTGGTCTTTTGATTTATCTTTGTGTCTACATTCTTGTCTCTTAATGTCCTTATTCTTGTCTACATGATACCTTTATGTCTACATTTATGTCTAACATGTTGAAGTAAGAGTTTGACTTCAAGTATACACAAAGAACAACCTTTCGAAATAAGGCTTTACTCAACACTAAATAAAAAAACTACTTAATGTCTCTTTATAAATAATTATCTCAGACTAGGCGCGGTTACTAAGGTGGGTGTAATAATCATGTAATGATTACTTCATGTAATAATCACTACAATCACCCTCTCCTATTTGAAATAACTATAATCCAAATTAAATAATCTAAATAAGACTGGTCCTGCCCGATTGTCCTTTTTTTTTATATATCATGTATATGTCAGGCGGTCGGGTTGTTTCTTTTCTCTCTGCGAGCGGCGTAACGGTAGTGTCTGTTGTGAAGACGACTGATCAGGTAGAGCGGGATCCTCTAGTAGTGAGTTCCCTTCTCTTTCCTTCTTTGGCGAACTATTATTTAGTTTCCTAGCGTCTTTTGTGGCCAAAGGAGGTGGACGTGGGTCGTCTACAGTATTATCTTTATAAGGCGATAGTGGTAGCGGTTTCTCGCATAACTTCTCTTTTTCCTCAGCTTGTGGAGCGAGGAACTTAGTGGCTACGGTATCTTCTCTTCCATCAGGAAATTTTACATGCGCATACTGAGGATTTGCTTCGATTAGCTCTACTTCATCGACAGATGGGTCATACTTAGATTGTTTTACTTGACGCTTCAACAGTACCAGTCCAGGTTTGGATAGCCACGTTGGTATGGAAGTTCCACTCGTCGATCTTCGTTGGTGGATAAAGAGGCGTTCATGCGGTGTTACATTAGTAGCGGTGCACAACAGAGATCTGATGGAATGAAGAGCATCATGCAAAACTTCTTGCCAGCAGCTGGTCGGTAGTCCTCGCGTCTTCATCGCGAGGAAATAGTCTTCCATAGAGTGCCGTTCAAACGTTCTACTTGGCCGTTCCCTTCTGGGTTATATGGTGTGGTTCGGCTTGACGAGATTCCTTTCTGGAGGAGAAAGTCTTTAACTTTTGCACTCATAAAGCCAGAACCTCTATCCGAATGTATGTAAGCAGGCATACCGAAAATTGAAAACAATTCGCAGAGACAATTTATAATTGACTCCGCGCTAACGTCTTTACAAGCGAAAGCAAAAGGAAATCTTGAATATTCATCTATTATAGTAAGAAGAAACTTATTATGATTAGTTGTCGGCAATGGTCCTTTGAAGTCCAAACTAAGTCTCTCGAAGGGTTGAGTCGCTTTTACTAAATGGAAATTTTCTGTTTTGTAATATTGAGGCTTACTTTCCCTGCATATCTTGCAGGACTGTGTCATGAGCTTAATTTCATCCATAGAGAACGGGAGATTACGGTTTTTTACAAAATGTGCCATCCGCGTTATTCCTGGGTGACACAAGGATTCATGAAGCTCTATCAGCTTATCGGAGGTCATGCTCATTGCTCTTATCCTAGAAAATGTATCCGCTGGTACATTCTCTTCTCCTGCTCTGTAGATTATATCAAAATCGTAAGTGGATAGTTCCATCCTCCATCTCATTATCTTATCGTTCTTAATTTTGCTCTTTTGCTTGGTGTCAAACATGTAAGCTACTGACTTCTGATCGGTAATTAACATAAAATGCTTACCCGTAAGGTAGTGTCTCCACTTCCTCACGGCTTCTACGATAGCCGCTGCTTCTTTCTCCACTGAAGCGTGCTTAAGTTCTGATCCGCTTAACATCCTCGAAAAGAACGCAACTGGGCGACCGTTTTGGTTGAGAGTGGCTGAAAGAGCAAACTCGGAAGCGTCTGTTTCCACCTGAAAGGGCTGTGCTTCGTCAACAGCTTGGACCACAGATTTTTCGACATCGGACTTAAGTAGATTAAATGAAGTAAGAGCATTTCCTACCATTGGGAATACAGTATTCTGTGTCAGTGGTCTTACTTTTGCTGCAAAGTCTTTGATCCATTGAGAATAGTAAGAAAAGAGACCCACAATCCGTTTCTGTTCTTTTAAATCACGGGGGACAGGTAACTCTCGCAGAGGTCTCAATCGTGCCGGGTCCGGCTTTATTTCTCCATTAGCGATTATACTACCGAGGATGCAAATACTGGTTGTTGAGAAGGAGCATTTGTCTTGATTAAACGTCAAATTTCGCTTTCTAGCTGCTTGAAGGAACTTTTCGAGATTTATGTCATGCTGGGCTTGGTCCCGGCCACAAATCGTGATGTTGTCAAGATACACAAACGTGTCTTCTAGACATTCTTTAGCGATAAAGTTGTCCATCATTCTTTGGAAAGCTGCTGCTCCATTCGTTACTCCAAATGGTACTCGACGGAATTGGTACAAACGCTGGTTAGCTTCGAAAGCAGTATATTTCTTTTCTTCTTTTTGAATTGGGACTTGATGATACGCACTTTTCAAATCAACGGTGCTGAAAACTTTGTACTGAGCGATTTTAGAGACGATATCATCTATTCTAGGCAAAGGATAAGCATTCAGGTGTGTGAATCTATTTATAGTTTGCGAGTAGTCAATCACTAATCTTTTTTTTTGTCGATCGTTTCTAGTTACGACCACTTGTGCTCTCCACGGTGATTCACTCGGTTCAATTATACCTTCATCTAGAAGCCTTTGTACTTCAGTTGTAATAAATTCTTTGTCTTCTCGGCTATATTTCCTTGATTTAATAGCTATCGGTTTACAACCCTCTGTTAAATGTTGGAACAAAAGTGGGGGGTCTAGGTTCAAAGCTGTTAAACTGCAAAGTTTCAAAGGAGGGGCAGAACCCCCGTACTGGATAGTGACACTTTCGTGCTGGGCTTGCCAAGTTTGCCCTAGAATAACATGAGTACACAGATTGGGCAGAATATATAGCTTAACCTGAGAATACAACCGGCCTTTTAACGTGATATCACTAAGACAATATCCTTGCATTTTTGTGGAATAATTACTTGTAGCCATCGTAACTTTTTCTTTGGTCTGATGAACTGTCAATGAAAGTTGCTCAACCAAATCAGGATGTATGAAGCAATGAGTACTTTCTGAATCTACCAGAGCTGTAACAGTTCTTTCTTTTAAACGAATGTCAATACATGAACTTAGTAATGACTCCCCCATTGCAGCTAGAGTTATGTGAGCTGATTGCGTTAAATTAGAGACTACTGCTGAAGAACGGCAAACTCTTTGGTAGTGCCCTCTTTTTTTACATTTATTACAAATAGCTTCTTTCGCAGGGCATAATGACCGGGGTGTTGCTTATTACCACAAAGAAGCACTTAGCGGAACGTGAAGTGGAGGCTAAATACCTCTCGCTTAGTCCTTCTTCATTATTTTCGTCATGTCCGTTAGATGCCGTAACAGCAGCGCTTGTGAAGGGATTCGAATTGTATGTCTCCGATGATTTTTGTGCCAAATCCCAAGCTCGAGCTTGATCAACTGCCGTTTGTAAATCCAACTGTTTATTCTCCAGTAAACGTTGTCGAATGCTTCCCGACAATAGACCACTAATGAAAGCATCCCGAATTGCTTCATCCCGATATTGAGCAGCAGAGACTTGACGAAAATTGCAGTCTTTACTTAGGTGTTTCAGTTCTTGTAGGTATTCGTCAAGGGTTTCGCCTGCTTGTTGTTTCCGTGTTGCAAATTTATGCCGAGCAAAAATCTCGTTCGGAGGCTTGACATATAAGGTTTTCAGCGTAGTGATGGCTTCATCGTAGGTTTCAGTATCACAGAACAGTTGATAAACATCAGAGGTGACATAATTCGCCAGAATGTGTAGTTTATTTATTCGGGTATCAGGAATGGACGGTATTGCATCGATGAAGTTCTCAAATGTCGCGAGCCAGTGCGTCCGGCGTTTTGCAGCGCCTTGGGCGTTCGGAATAACATCAAACCGTTCAGGTCTCAAAACTTTATCCATAGGTATAAGGAGTAGTGTTGAGTAAATTGAAGTAAGAGTTTGACTTCAAGTATACACAAAGAACAACCTTTCGAAATAAGGCTTTACTCAACACTAAATAAAAAAACTACTTAATGTCTCTTTATAAATAATTATCTCAGACTAGGCGCGGTTACTAAGGTGGGTGTAATAATCATGTAATGATTACTTCATGTAATAATCACTACACATGTCCGCCTTCATGTCTAATTTTTTGATACTTTTCTTTCTTTCTTTGGGCCTATACATTTGTCTACGTTTGAGTAGACCTTTGTGTTCACATTTATTGTCTACTTTTACGTCTACCTTTTTGTCTACCTTTGTGATACCTACATGTGTACTGCCTCTACCTTAAGTCTGTCTTTGTGTCGGCTTTTGTGTTTTCTATTTGTTTACATTTTTGTTTACCTTTGTGTCTATCTGATATCTATATACATTGAATTTAAATTTTAGTAAACGGTAAAGTTTGAATGGCGTATTGAGAGGTCATTGTGAAAGAACACGTTATTAAGTGCGCATGAGTTAGCCTTAATACTTCAACAAAACCGAACTTTGGGATCAAAATTACGTGGAATAGCCAGTCAAATGACATCATTCACCATAAGAACGTTCTTTCCAATTGGTATAGCAAACATTCAAATCTCTAAAGGCTATTCATGCTTGAAAAGTATATTAAACCATCTCAAGCTTTATAAGTGCATCAACAGTAATTCTACTTCATCATTGGTCTGTTCACTAAGAAGTCACGTGATACAGAGCGAGGGAAATCAGAGTGCTCAGTCCGTGTGTTTGGTTTCTAAAAATAATTCCGTCAGAAAATAGCAGGAACTGAAAAAAATACTAATATCGTTCTCTCAGATGAGGAAGACGAATCTTCAATGAATGTGAATAATGAAATAGTCTCTGGTATTTCTCTGCTGAATACAAAGATTGATGTATGCGAATCGCTGTCTACGGCAGAACCTGCCAAAAAAAGACACCCAACAGTAGACGATTATGAATTGACTAGTCAAGAATGTGGTCAAGAATCAGATGCCGATGAACTGCTGTACCAGCTGACGAATAAACGATAAAAAGTTGTTAATAACGACAACAACGAAGGGAACGTCTCTGAACATATCGATCAATCCGAAGACTCTCTGCAAGAGGAAATTGCACAGGCTATCATGAACGACGATGAAAAAGCTGCTGCAGAATTCTCAGAACAATTGGTCAAATTTATAAATTCTCGTTGATTGACTAAGCTGGAGTTTAGCGAGAAACTTGATTCTTCACTTACGTCCGGTTAACTGCGAGCGATTCATCACCACCAAAGTGAACCCAGAAATCCGGGTATTTATTTATTACTGAACACTTACACCATTTTTAGTACTGTTCTATTTACACTACAAGGTGCAGTTAATAAAAGGCGTACAACGTTAAAACTTAAGTACATTAACATAACTCTATATTGAGAAATGCGTAACTTCCTAAGTGTGTAACAGTCCGACTGAAAATCTGGTGTCTAATATCTGTAATCTTCATACACATGACATTAAGTTCCGTAGTTTTGAGGTGCTTGATCAAATATGGCCATTTAAATTTCCGACAACCATCCAAAATTTTCTGACAGACACATATCCAAGCGTAGCCTCCCAACCCCCTCTTTAGTTACGATACTCTTGACTGGTCAGAAAAGTGAGGGAGGACAAGGCCACTGGTCTGATTGTTGTTCCATTTTGTCCCATAAAAATTTTATGGCCCTCCTTATTGAACATGCTTATGCAATATCCAGTGCTTTTACCAAAGGCAACAGAGCACATTGATTCAGCACAGCGATCCACAAGCAAGACACCCATTGATTAATGAACTGGATTTATTATGTTGTCACTTGTCAGGAGTCACCTCCTCAACCAAGGCATTTCTGAAAGGGCTTCAGGGATTATCTTAGCGACATGGCGCTACGGCAAACAAAAACAATATCACACATACTTACGTTTGGAAAAGTTCTGCTGTTGGAGGAAAATGATCCAGTTTGTGCAACTTTGGAATGGCATTGAATTCCTTTCAACTGAATGTCAACGAGGTTTACCATACACTGCTTTAAATACCATTAAAAGTCTAATTTCTATAGTCAGTTTTCCTCATGATCAATCATTCGGCAGCCATCCATTAGATTCAAGATATCTAAGAGGTGTTTTTTTAACTCCGACCTTCTCTTCCGAAACATCGAGTGACATGGAATGTTTTTGCTGTATTAAACTATTTCGGAACAAAGAAGTTGAAAGCTTTATCACTCAAGACTGTTATGTTAGTTGTTTTATTAAGTGGCCGAAGATGCCGAACAAAACAGGCACTCACATTTAGTGGAATGCACAATTGAATGACAAATTTTACGTTTGAGGTTAATGAGACGTTAAAGATCTCTAAACCTGGAAAGCATATTCAACCATTAGTTTTTAAAACATACCCAGGTGATGAGCTGCTGTATGTGGTGACCTGTCTCAAAGAATATTTACTTATGACAAACCTGGTGAGAGACAACAATGAGAAACTTTGGCTTAGTTTTAACAAACCATACAAACCAGTAAAGGAAAACACTGTCGCACGATGGCTTGAACATGTTATTAGCTGTAACGGGGAATGCTGGAATTGATAAAACCTGTTTCAGTGCACATAGCACTCGTTTTACATTTACATCTGCAGCAGCAGGTACAAATCTCTCTGATATTATAATGTATTCAGCCGGATGGGCCAATGAAACTACTTTCAGTAGATTTTTTAAGAAACGTATCGAACAAGCTGAACAACCTCACTTTGAAGAACATTTGTTATCTTCTCAGATTATGAAAAAGTAAAAAGTATGCATGCCACATTTTTATTGTATGAGTTGATTCACTCCTTTCAAAAATCCTTGTTGAAAAGTGAATGCTCTATATCCGGCGCTTTATCGTAAGTGACTTTTTTGTTCCTGACCAATGACTCGTAGAATGCAAATCAAACTTCACCTTAAAGGCATACACGTAAGCCTTGCTTCATTTTTAAATTATCCGTCACGGCGTCAGAGGCTATGTGAAGATATGGAATGAATATATCCTGAGAAGTTTCTGGGCCAGTTGTGTCACAGGTGTGCTAAGAGTTTTTTGAAACTTTTGTGTTATTTGCATTCTACCTATGTTTAGTGTGAGCAAGATTATTGCAATAATATTATAGCTTACAATATCATTGCTCGTTAAAGCCATTGGCTTGGAACGCTCAAAATTCAACAACAAAACATTGAACTTAAAACTCTTTTGATGCTTGCTCTTTTAGCAACTGTTATAACAATTTTGATAACAATTGCAGCCGGGTGTGATAAGATTTCTATTTAAGTTTACTCAGTCTATGATGAAATTTAGGCAGAGGCGTAAGTAGAACGTTAGTTGGGGTGTGTATATTCATATATTCAATTGTGCCCTACTGATTTCTTTCGAAATTTGAATTGCATTCAAAAGAAAACAGCAGGGCACAACGAAATATATGAATATGCACCCCAAATTAACATTCTAGTTACACCTCTGAATTTAGTATATCCATCAAAAATTTCACACATCTTAAGCTACATAGTTATATTTCCAACAGTAAAGAATATATTTCGGCATATTGTATGCCATCTTTAATGCAAAGTGAATAGGAAGTTTACATTGATACAAGATAATATATATCGTGTGTTGTCTGACAAGAGTGGACAAGAATAGATTACTTATTCATAATTATTTACAACACCTTATTCACTTGTAAACAGCTGTGCATAACTAGTCTCTATACTTCCGTTTCTATCACGAACGGAACTCATTAAATAACTTTTTAACTACAGGTTTACAAAAAATGTTTTTACTGACACCCCTCCCCCCCGAAATAAACAACTCAGATCTATCAAATTCTATTTACAAGATATAATATAGCATAACTTTAATAAAAATAACTCTCTTTTTCTCCCAATTAAGCGTCGCACTAAAGTTACTCAGATGCGGGGAAGTGGTGCGTAATAACTTTTCTGGATTATGAGTGCGGCGCTTAAACGATTATATATTATTCAGCTATATATTTTAACACCAATCTAGAGGACATACAAGCTTTTTACACACAAACAAAACCAAGATGTCGATGTCTGAAAACGTCTTCACTTCAATCAGTAAATGTACCGTTTGGATATCTAAATGTTTTGCCTTCTTGTTCAAATGTCCGTGCTGAATTAAACATTTTTCTGGGTAACTCGGCCTTATGTTTCACAAGAGCACGAAAAAAGACTGAAATAGAAACGTCTCTTGCTTGGGGCAAGTTTAATCGTCATTCGCATTTTCCAAACCTGAAAGAAAAGCAGTTTGAAAACTCGTCTAAAAAATTTTAGGTGAAGTCAATATAGTTATCGATGGATTTGTTTACTGATTGCTTGAATGCGCAACATTACACATATAGTAAAACATGTGTATACAGTAAGCGAGTTACGAATGACGTTCATGTGCTCTTCTCTTCTCTGACTTTTTGAGACGACACAGCTTTTCACTGCTGCTGTATAATTGCCGCATTGTTGCAACAAGATTTCAGCACACTGTAAAAATGATTGGTTAAAATAACCATATGATTGGTTAAAATAAACATAAAAATATTGGTTGAAGTGGTTAAATGCATCTGAGGTAGCCAATTTTAATGGTCCTTTTAACCAGTCAGTTTTTAGAGTACATGATTGCTGGGCATTGTGGCCACTGTGGAGCAGTAATCAGCACAGATCAACGTATTTTTATAATTAATTATTCATATAGGGTCACACTGTTGCTCGGGTGCGATATTGAAATGATTTAGATATTTGCTTGCGGTATCGTTGCCACATGAGTCTTGTATGTAAACATAATATAACTTATTATGTTATTCCTGATGGCGTTTGAATGCTCATACAGCCGGATGATTCAACCTTCAAAAGGTGAACTGGAACCAGAAACACTATAATATATGAGCTGTTTTTGTCATTCGGTTGTTTGAACATAGTAATTAAACTTGGTTGGTTTTAAGGTCATACTTCCTCTACTACATATTGCGATGAAAGATTGTTTATCTACCTAGAGAATGTTTATCATTTTGGATACTACTATTGATTTTTCTCTAAAGAAAGCACACTCGCACTCGCTGCGACAGTAGTGTAGAATTTTAGTGAGAATGTTCGTTATTCCCAGAGTTTGAAACAATTTGCAATTATCAGATTAAATATGGGTTTACTTGAACGCTTCCATAGAGGTGGAACAAAGTTCAGTCTACTATGTATGGTGTTTATTTTGATTGCGTATGCACCATGTTTCTGATGTAAGCACTATCTTAAGAGCACCTTATTTTTGTCTATTTAAACAAAAAATTCAGTGCACTTGACACGTTGATAAAGTCTTGTCTGACCGTTTTGGTATTCGCTTTCACTCTTATGAATTACTTTAACAATTTGTTACAGGGATCTCTATACATTATGTTCAAAGCTGGATGGATGCACCTCTCCCCGATTGTGTTTGTTTTTGCTCGATCTTTCATAGACGGATGTGAAATATACTTGATATTACCGACAGCTTGGTATTACATGAAGTCAATAGGTCAAACAGAGAGATATTTGGCAGTCGTTTTAATCTCGTTCAATGTCGCTGCTGTTGTCATGACTCCGCTGTTTGGGCTCGTCGGTGATCGCCTTGGTCACGTGAAACTTTTGATCATTACTAGTTTTATGATGAAGGTTTTGGGCAATCTGTTTTATTGCATTAGAGAATTTCCCGTATTTCCACTTCTAGGGCGAGTTTTGGCCGGAATGGGTGAAGGCTCAAACGGTCTTGTATTCCGCTACGTTGCGTTAAACACATCTAAAGATGAACGAGTTAAAATGTTTGTTCTTCTTGATGGCGCATATTGCCTAGGGAGCTCATTTGGCCCTGCTATCGGGAGCGTCATAACCTTTAAGGCAACTTTCATGGGATTGAAAATCGATGCAGGAAATTCACCAGGCATTATTTTGTTCTGCGTCTGGTCTGTTTTCCTGGTATGGTCCTTCTTTTTGCCTGGCAATTTAGACGAGAAAGTGGTATCTGACCACGTTGATTCTTTAGCTTCGAGTGATTGTGCAAAACATGACGAAACAATAACGGAAAAATACATGACACAAAATCGAGAAGTTACCAATAAAGAATGGCAGCACTGCAACTCGGAAGTGATTTGCTTGTTTTACTTGATATTTTGCAGCGAGTTCTTTTCCAGTACGGCTTCTTTTTCAACACCACTTCTTGCCGAAGAAGTGTTAAAACTCAAACTTATTCATGTAAAATTATACTTCCTCAATAGCTCACTTCTGAATTTTGTTTTCTATGCTGCAACATACATCGCTTCGAATCGTTTCGATGAAAGGAGAATCGTCACGTTTTTTATAACGATTCAAATAATCGCCTTGTCGTTGCTGACATCACTTGCATTAACGTGGACCCATTTCTCGTACATTCAATATTATATTCTTTTGTTTTACGTAACGCTCGGCTCTCCATACATTATATTTGTTCTTAGTTGCTCGTTACTGTCTAAAATCACCGATCTGAAGAACGCTGGGTTATTTCAAGATATATCGCTTGCGACCGTTCATTCTTCAATCGTCATTAGTCGAATATTAGCAAGCTTTGTCTTTACACAACCTGGAATGGTGTATTTCAGTGTTTGTCTTGTTGTTTTGTGGCTCTTTGGTGCTGTATGGTATGCTTTGGCGTTTGAAAACTCAAGCAAAAAAATGCGCATGCTACGTTGATCCTTTAAGATTCTTAATTACCAAATAAATGCATCGCCGGAGGACCTGGTTTTTTATGCACATTCGTAATTGTTGTGCAAGGAAATGTGAACTAAATGAAATTGGAAAACCTCTCTTGGTGACTAGCATACTTTTCCCGGAAACAATTCGTCACTCTTTCAAAAGACATTTCTTTGGAATATGTTTGACATTTTTAACATTAGAGCACTTTTTTAGTTAGTCGATGCAACCCATGTCAAATTACAGACCCATGAATGATAGGCAACTCATGATTTGGACACAAGAGTTTTAAGCGCACAACGACTGAATTTAAGACATGGACTTTTGTAGCTGATGATGCAAAGTCGTTTATGATGAATATATGGACGACGTGAGGAACTCAAAGTTTCAACATTAGATCATTTTTCATGAATGAAAAGCACAAAAAGGAAGTATGTTTGACAATAATTTTTCGTCACTGCAATCTGTTGATAAAGAATAAAATAGCATTTGTAATGTTCTGATAAATCATTAAACGGATGAGTAATCACAAAAATCAAAGTATAGCTGCAAGAAAAATCTCGTCATTGATGCTTAGGAGACGCCGGTTTTCTGCCAAGTTGTCTAAAAGCAAGCTCCCTCCTGTTTTCCCAGAAAGTGACCAATCGCCTTAGAAAAACATTGCACAGACATAGCAAATCAAATAGTCGTTACAACGTCAATATGAGTGAAAAAACAAAGATCGTTTTTACTTGCATTTTCATACATTGATTATTGTCAAGTGACGTCATATAGAAAGCTGATCGATGACATTTTGTCGCTGGATTTATCTCATACAATCAATTGTGTGAACTTTTCATAGTTTTCTTATTCGGTTTATGTTTTTCAGTAACAGTGAATGCAGCTCAAAGACTTAACTTTTTAAACAAATCAGTGATATGAATGCAGACTAGCTTGAAATATCATCCCAACTGCCGAAAATGCTACATTCAGTTTTTTTGGTAATTCCAACAGAAAGATTTGAAAACTCTCAATAAAAGTACATTTTCTATGATGAAAATAACGAGAGATAGAACGATCTCTTTACGTAGACGGCTTTTGTATTTCTGGCATTTGTGAATCGTGTAACCTTACCTAGCAAATTTTAGTAAACACGTGCCTTGAATATTAATACAGCAATGTGCTGTTCGTCCCTATTCATTATGGTTGCATCCAATTTAAGCTGTCTGTGTTGATTACTTTCATACTACACTATCGGGTCTTCGAGTTAGATAGCCCTTCAAAGTAATTTTATAGGTTGTTATTGTCAATTTACTTTGACTGTGCCATGATGTGTGAGAGTAATACAGTCAACTTTATTATAGTAGATTATTTTTTTAGATAGCGCATGCTTTGTTGCAGTATTGTAACATGATATTTTACGTGTGAGATACGCCAGCTTGCTGCGAATGTCTATTCCAAAAGCATAATCAATTGCATCGATATCTTTTTATTATTGTTTCTCCTGTTGTTTTATGTTGTCACAGTCGTAAACAAAAACACTTCGTGACAGAACATGGCGCTTTGTAAAGGCCGAACTACTCTCATCCCTTTTCTCGTACGGGTTGAAGAATACTTGAAATATAAAAACTCTTCCTAAATTTGCGCTTGTCAACATCATTATAAGTGCGCTCCATTCATATTCCCATTAATTACGCACATTCCGTTCTATGGAAATTAGACAAGAGGTCAATCCTTCATCATTTCCTGACTAAATATTGCGCGCGTCGGGAGTGCCTGCATAACCGCATGAAGAACTGGCTATACTTTCAATAAACGTCGTTGAACCTCGAAAGATTTACTCTACCAAGTCAACATAAAGAGCTGATCATGTTTGCGCTACGTGTATTGCGCAGCCTCGTCGCAATTTATTCCATTGAAGCGCTCGCGTCGATTACGTGTGCCGAATCCCATTTGAAAAGTGGTAAAAACATTTGAAACATTTCATGCAAGTTGTAAATTAAACAGTAAGTGATTACATTATACGATGTTTTACGTTTCATCTTTTCCCTTTGAATTCTGTTGTTGATTGCGCATTGCACGATGGTGTATAGTCATCTGTGTTTATATCTTAGCACCTGACATATCTTTCAATGCGGAAATGTAACAACAAAGTGAAGTTTGCTTAATATACTTTTCAAGTTTTTTTAAAGGTCAGCAAATTTTTCATATAAAACAGTGCAGTTTGAATTTCGTTCATTAAATGTCTCCAGTTGATGTGAGAACACCAGAAAACAGTTTATAAAACAAGGCTTGTTTTATACACATTGTTTCGTTGTGTAAATTAATTTTGACCAAATAGACAAACCGTTTAATCTACTCCTAATTCACTGCTCAATAGACCTTTTCAAGGTTATCGCAGCCATATTGCAGGGGGTGCAAAAACATTGGGCCGAGCGCGCGGTCACGCATGGCGTCCATATAAATTACTAATAAATGCGCAAAAATTACCCTTATACATATTGGCCATTTCTTTCAAAAATATTTCTCAAACTCGTCCATTTGAATAGTTAAATTATTATTTGCGATTTTTATACACGTGAGTCCAATTTTGTGGTAATCAAAAAGCGGAAAGTTAAAGAAAACATTTGTTTTCTTTGAACAACGTGACCGTCGTTTGAGCGATGTTCTTGAGTTCGTAACACACGCACATGTCTACAGCAAAGTCAGCAAGTATCACGAGGAACTATTCTACGGCAAACTCTTATTAGTATTTCCAATTATTTGTAAAGTGACATTGCTATTTTTATTATTATGTATGGCGACTTAACAGCCAGAAGAAGAAACAGCCAAGTATTCAAATGCACACTTAAAACTGTTAGTCGATGGCAGGCCGGTGTGAAACCTTACATCATACTCTCTCGTCAACTGTTCAAATTCCAAATGGACCAGGAGTAAAGATGCCTCAGATTTTGCTGGATTTCCATCAAAACTTGAATCAGAATACTCGGTGTCATAGGATTGATGAGGACGCTTTGATGTCGTCCATGTTTCTCCTCCTTTACGTTTAAGCGGAGTCCTCGATTGCTCGTACTCTGATAGCGTAATAAAAACCGAAGGATAATCCGTTCCGCGGTTATTTGGGATTCTTCTTACCAAGGGAAAATAATTTGAGCAAACTAAAGTACCTTGTGCACCAGGCTTTGGGTTAAACTCATCGGCTCTGCTGTTGGCAATTTGTTTTCGCCAAATTTCAGCAAGTACTTGATCTTTGGGCCACTAATGAAAAACTGAATTTTCTACGTGAGACCTCTTAACTTAATAATAGGGATAGCGTTTATCATTATCGCAATATCCAACTGCACAAAGCGCATATTTTACCATTTCGGCTATGACTGCTCACGGCTACTCGGCTAGTTTAGGTTTTAGTTTGACTTGGCTTATGAGATCCGCACATTTGCGAACTCAAGAACATATCGCTCAAACGACGGTCAAGTTGTCCAAAAAAAACAAATGTTTTCTTTAACTTTCCGCTTTTTGATTACCACAAAATTACCACAAAAGCTAATAAGATAGAAGTTTAATTTCTATAAACAGCTGTCATATTGAACGTGTGCGTTTTTTTCCCACACACACAGTGAAGAATAAAAGGGCATGTTAAGACAAGTTTACAATTATACCTAAGCATTTTCCTCTTGCTGATGATGCTTTACTTGACGATAGAAATGTTCTTGTAAACTACGGTTCTTGTGCTCACGACAATTGCAAACAGCACAACCTTTGTACATCATTCACCAGCAATACTTCGAAAACGAGCATAAAGTGGAAATGGTTTTTAACTAATCGCATGCATGCTTGCAGGCATTCAAAAGTTTTGTTTACAACCAATCAGATGTCTTGAATTTATGTCTGGCAAGAATCATGAACATGCACAATGGGTCACGTCTGCAATTAGATTACCTTTTTCTTTATTTTTGTGATACTTATACGTCTACTTTGTCTAGTTTTAAGTCCACCTTCATGTCTACTTTCATATCTATTTTTTCTATACGCATATGTTTAGCTACGTTTTTACTTTCCTTCATGTCTATCTCTGCATGCAATTTTCGCTTACTTTTTCGTCTACCCTTTAGTCTACTATTTTGTCTACCTTTGTGTCTACAATCTTGTCTATTTGTCCACCTATATGTCTTCTTTTTTTTACCTTTTTGTCTTTATTTTTCTTTTATGTTCACCATTATGTCTACATTAATGTCTGCTTTTTATGCCCATTTTTATGTGTGTAGACAAAATTTTAATTTTGTGATACCTTTATTTCTAACTTTATGTCTACCTTAGTGTCTACCTTTATGTCTACCTTCATATCTACCTTTCTCTTTATCTTTATATCTACCTTTTTTGTATCTTTGTGTTTACTTTTATATCTACTGTATCTGTCTTTGTGCGTACTTTTTGTATATCTTTATGTCTACATTCTTGTCTCTTAATGTCTTTATTCTTGTCTACATGATATCTTTATGTCTACATTTATAACATTTTTTATACTTTTCTTTCTTTTTTTGTATACTTTTGTTTTTGTGTTTACTTTTATTGTCTATCTGTCTTTTTATGCCCACCTTTTTGTCCACCTTAGTGATACCTATATGTGTACTGTCTCTACCTTAAGTCTGTCATGAAGGTAACGCATGCGCACTGAATAACGTGTTCTTTCACAATGACCTCTCAATACGCCATTCAGACTTTACCGTTTGCTAAAATTTAAATTCAATGTATATAGATATCAGATAGACACAAAGGTGGACAAAAAGGTGGGCATAAAAAGACAGATAGACAATAAAAGTAAACACAAAAGTCTACACAAACGTAGACAAAAGTATACGCACAAAGAAAGAAAGAAAAGTATCAAAAAATTAGACATGAAGGCGGCTATGTTAGACATAAATGTAGATATCACGAACGGAACTCATTAAATAAATTTTTAACTACAGGTTTACAAAGAATGTTTTACTGACCCCCCCTGAAATAAACAACTCAGATCTATCAAATTCTATTAACAAGATATAATATAGCATAACTTTAATAAAAATAACTCTCTTTTTCTCCCAATTAAGCGTCGCACTAAAGTTACTCAGATGCGGGGAAGTGGTGCGTAATAACTTTTCTGGATGAGTGCGGCGCTTAAATGATTATATATTATTCAGCTATATATTTTAACACCAATCTAGAGGACATACAAGCTTTTTACACACAAACAAAACCAAGATGTCGATGTCTGAAAACGTCTTCACTTCAATCAGTAAATGTACCATTTGGAAATCTAAATGTTTTGCCTTCTTGTTCAAATGTCCGTGCTGAATTAAACATTTTTCTGGGTAACTCGGCCTTATGTTTCACAAGAGCACGAAAAAAGACTGAAATAGAAACGTCTCTTGCTTGGGGCAAGTTTAATCGTCATTCGCATTTTCCAAACCTGAAAGAAAAGCAGTTTGAAAACTCGTCTAAAAAATTTTAGGTGAAGTCAATATAGTTATCGATGGATTTGTTTACTGATTGCTTGAATGCGCAACATTACACATATAGTAAAACATGTGTATACAGTAAGCGAGTTACGAATGACGTTCATGTGCTCTTCTCTTCTCTGACTTTTTGAGACGACACAGCTTTTCACTGCTGCTGTATAATTGCCGCATTGTTGCAACAAGATTTCAGCACACTGTAAAAATGATTGGTTAAAATAACCATATGATTGGTTAAAATAAACATAAAAATATTGGTTGAAGTGGTTAAATGCATCTGAGGTAGCCAATTTTAATGGTACTTTTAACCAGTCAGTTTTTAGAGTACATGATTGCTGGGCATTGTGGCCACTGTGGAGCAGTAATCAGCACAGATCAACGTATTTTTATAATTAATTATTCATATAGGGTCACACTGTTGCTCGGGTGCGATATTGAAATGATTTAGATATTTGCTTGCGGTATCGTTGCCACATGAGTCTTGTATGTAAACATAATATAACTTATTATGTTATTCCTGATGGCGTTTGAATGCTCATACAGCCGGATGATTCAACCTTCAAAAGGTGAACTGGAACCAGAAACACTATAACATATTAGCTGTGTTTGTCATTCGGTTGTTTGAACATAGTAATTAAACTTGGTTGGTTTTAAGGTCATACTTCCTCTACTGCATATTGCCATGAAAGATTGTTTATCTACCTAGAGAATGTTTATCATTTTGGATACTACTATTGATTTTTCTCTAAAGAAAGCACACTCGCTGCGACAGTAGTGTAGAATTTTAGTGAGAATGTTCGTTATTCCCAGAGTTTGAAACAATTTGCAATTATCAGATTAAATATGGGTTTACTTGAACGCTTCCATAGAGGTGGAACAAAGTTCAGTCTACTATGTATGGTGTTTATTTTGATTGCGTATGCACCATGTTACTGATGTAAGCACTATCTTAAGAGCACCTTATTTTTGTCTATTTAAACAAAAAATTCAGTGCACTTGACACGTTGATAAAGTCTTGTCTGACCGTTTTGGTATTCGCTTTCACTCTTATGAATTACTTTAACAATTTGTTACAGGGATCTCTATACATTATGTTCAAAGCTGGATGGATGCACCTCTCCCCGATTGTGTTTGTTTTTGCTCGATCTTTCATAGACGGATGTGAAATATACTTGATATTACCGACAGCTTGGTATTACATGAAGTCAATAGGTCAAACAGAGAGATATTTGGCAGTCGTTTTAATCGCGTTCAATGTTGCTGCTGTTGTCATGACTCCGCTGTTTGGGCTCGTCGGTGATCGCCTTGGTCACGTGAAACTTTTGATCATTACTAGTTTTATGATGAAGGTTTTGGGCAATATGTTCTATTGCATTAGAGAATTTCCCGTGTTTCCACTTCTAGGGCGAGTTTTGGCCGGAATGGGTGATGGCTCAAACGGTCTTGTATTCCGCTACGTTGCGTTAAACACATCTAAAGATGAACGAGTTAAAATGTTTGTTCTTCTTGATGGCGCGTATTGCCTAGGGAGCTCATTTGGCCCTGCTATCGGGAGCGTAATAACCTTTAAGGCAACTTTCATGGGATTGAAAATCGATGCAGGAAATTCACCAGGTATTATTTTGTTCTGCGTCTGGTCTGTTTTCCTGGTATGGTCCTTCTTTTTGCCTGGCAATTTAGACGAGAAAGTGGTATCTGACCACGTTGATTCTTTAGTTTCGAGTGATTGTGCAAAACATGACGAAACAATAACGGAAAAATACATGACACAAAATCGAGAAGTTACCAATAAAAAATGGCAGCACTGCAACTCGGAGGTGGTTTGCTTGTTTTACTTGATATTTTGCAGCGAGTTCTTTTCCAGTACGGCTTTTTTTTCAACACCACTTCTTGCCGAAGAAGTGTTAAAACTCAAACTTATTCATATAAAATTATACTTCCTCAATAGCTCACTTCTGAACTTTGTTTTCTTTACTGCAACATACATCGCTTCGAATCGTTTCGATGAAAGGAGAATCGTCACGTTTTTTATAACGATTCAAATAATCGCCTTGTCGTTGCTGACATCACTTGCATTAACGTGGACCCATTTCTCGTACATTCAATATTATATTCTTTTGTTTTACGTAACGCTCGGCTCTCCATACATTATATTTGTTCTTAGTTGCTCGTTACTGTCTAAATTCACCGATCCGAAGAACGCTGGGTTATTTCAAGGTATATCGCTTGCGACCGTTCATTCTTCAATCGTCATTAGTCAAATATTAGCAAGCTTTGTCTTTACACAAACTGGAATGGTGTATTTCAGTGTTTGTCTTATTTTTTTGTGGCTCTTTGGGGCTGTATGGTATGCTTTTGCGTTTGAAAACTCAAGCAAAAAAATGCGCATGCTACGTTGATCCTTTAAGATTCTTAATTACCAAATAAATGCATCGCCGGAGGACCTGGTTTTCTATGCACATTCGTAACTGTTTTGCAAGGAAATGTGAACTAAATGAAATTTGAAAACCTCTCTTGGTTTTCCCGGAAACAATTCGTCACTCCTTCAAAAGACATTTGTTTGGAAAATGTCTGACATTTTTAACATTAGAGCACTTTTTTAGTTAGTCGATGCAACCCATGTCAAATTACAGACCCATGAATGATAGGCAACTCATGATTTGGACGCAAGAGTTTTAAGCGCACAACGACTGAATTTAAGACATGGACTTTTGTAGCTGATGATGCAAAGTCGTTTATGATGAATATATGGACGACGTGAGGAACTCAAAGTTTCAACATTAGATCATTTTTCATGAATGAAAAGCACAAAAAGGAACTATGTTTGACAATTATTTTTCGTCACTGCAATCTGTTGATAAAGAATAAAATAGCATTTGTAATGTTCTGATAAATCATTAAACGGATGAGTAATCACAAAAATCAAAGTATAGCTGCAAGAAAAATCTCGTCATTGATGCTTAGGAGACGCCGGTTTTCTGCCAAGTTGTCTAAAAGTAAGCTCCCTCCTGTTTTCCCAGAAAGTGACCAATCGCCTTAGAAAAACATTGCACAGACATAGCAAATCAAATAGTCGTTACAACGTCAATATGAGTGAAAAAAACAAACATCGTTTTTACTTGAATTTTCATACATTGATTATTGTCAAGTGACGTCATATAGAAAGCTGATCGATGACATTTTGTCGCTGGATTTATCTCATACAATCAATTGTGTGAACTTTTCATAGTTTTCTTATTTGGTTTATGTTTTTCAGTAACAGTGAATGCAGCTCAAAGACTTAACTTTTTAAACAAATCAGTGATATGAATACAGACTAGCTTGAAATATCATCCCAACTGCCGAAAATGCTACATTCAGTTTTTTTGGTAATTCCAACAGAAAGATTTAAAAACTCTCAATAAAAGTACATTTTCTATGATGAAAATAACGAGAGATAGAACGATCTCTTTAACGTAGACGGCTTTTGTATTTCTGGCATTTGTGAATCATGTAACCTTACCTAGCAAATTTTAGTAAACATGTGCCTTGAATATTAATACAACAATGTGCTGTTAGTCCCTATTCATTATGGTTGCATCAAATAGACCTTTTCAAGGTTATCGCAGCCATATTGCAGGGGGTGCAAAAACATTGGGCCGAGCGCGCGGTCACGCATGGCGTCTATATAAATTACTAATAAATGCGCAAAAATTACCCTTATACATATTGGCCATTTCTTTCAAAAATATTTCTCAAACTCGTTCATTTTAATAGTTAAATTATTATTTGCGATTTTTTATACACGTGAGTCCAATTTTGTGGTAATCAAAAAGCGGAAAGTTAAAGAAAACATTTGTTTTCTTTGAACAACTTGATCGTCGTTTGAGCGATGTTCTTGAGTTCGTAACACACGCACATGTCTACAGCAAAGTCAGCAAGTATCACGAGGAACTATTCTACGGCAAACTCTTATTAGTATTTCCAATTATTTGTAAAGTGACATTGCTATTTTTATTATTATGTATGGCGGACTTAACAGCCAGAAGAAGAAACAGCCAAGTATTCAAATACACACTTAAAACTGTTAGTCGATGGCAGGCCGGTGTGAAACCTTACATCATACTCTCTCGTCAACTGTTCAAATTCCAAATGGACAAGGAATAAAGATGCCTCAGATTTTGCTGGATTTCCATCAAAACTTGAATCAGAATACTCGGTGTCATAGGATTGATGAGGACGCTTTGATGTCGTCCATGTTTCTCCTCCTTTACGTTTAAGCGGAGTCCTCGATTGCTCGTACTCTGATAGCGTAATAAAAACCGAAGGATAATCCGTTCCGCGGTTATTTGGGATTCTTCTTACCAAGGGAAAATAATTTGAGCAAACTAAAGTACCTTGTGCACTAGGCTTTGGGTTAAAGTCATCGGCTCTGCTGTTTGCAATTTGTTTTCGCCAAATTTCAGCAAGTGCTTGATCTTTGGGCCACTAATGAAAAACTGAATTTTCTACGTGAGACCTCTTAACTTAATAATAGGGATAGCGTTTATCATTATCGCAATATCCAACTGCACAACGCGCATTTTTTACCATTTCGGCTATGACTGCTCACGGCTACTCGGCTAGTTTAGGTTTTAGTTTGACTTGGCTTATGAGATCCGCACATTTGCGAACTCAAGAACATCGCTCAAACGACGATCAAGTTGTCCAAAAAAAACAAATGTTTTCTTTACCTTTCCGCTTTTTGATTACCACAAAATTACCACAAAAGCTAATAAGATAGAAGTTTAATTTCTATAAACAGCTGTCATATTGAACGTGTGCGTTTTTTTCCCACACACACAGTGAAGAATAAAAGGGCATGTTAAGACAAGTTTACAATTATACCTAAGCATTTTCCTCTTGCTGATGATGCTTTACTTGACGATAGAAATGTTCTTGTAAACTACGGTTCTTGTGCTCACGACAATTGCAAACAGCACAACCTTTGTACATCATTCACCAGCAATACTTCGAAAACGAGCATAAAGTGGAAATGGTTTTTTAACTAATCGCATGCATGCTTGCAGGCATTCAAAAGTTTTGTTTACAACCAATCAGATGTCTTGAATTTATGTCTGGCAAGAATCATGAACATGCACAATGGGTCACGTCTGCAATTAGATTACCTTTTTCTTTATTTTTGTGATACTTATACGTCTACTTTGTCTAGTTTTAAGTCCACCTTCATGTCTACTTTCATATCTATTTTTTTCTATACGCATATGTTTAGCTACGTTTTTGCTTTCCTTCATGTCTATCTCTGCATGCAATTTTCGCTTACTTTTTCGTCTACCCTTTAGTCTACTATTTTGTCTACCTTTGTGTCTACGATCTTGTCTATTTGTCCACCTATATGTCTTCTTTTTTGTCTTTATTTTTCTTTTATGTTCACCTTTATGTCTACATTAATGTCTGCTTTTTATGCCCATCTTTATGTGTGTAGACAAAATTTTAATTTTGTGATACCTTTATTTCTAACTTTATGTCTACCTTAGTGTCTACCTTTATGTCTACCTTCATATCTACCTTTCTCTTTATCTTTATATCTACCTTTTTTGTATCTTTGTGTTTACTTTTATATCTACTGTATCTGTCTTTGTGCGTACTTTTTGTATATCTTTATGTCTACATTCTTGTCTCTTAATGTCTTTATTCTTGTCTACATGATATCTTTATGTCTACATTTATGTCTAACATAGCCGCCTTCATGTCTAATTTTTTGATACTTTTCTTTCTTTCTTTGTGCGTATACTTTTGTCTACGTTTGTGTAGGCCTTTGTGTTTACTTTTATTGTATACTTTTATGCCTACCTTTTTGTCCACCTTAGTGATACCTATATGCGTACTGTCTCTACCTTAAGTCTGTCTTTGTGTCGGCTTTTGTGTTTTCTATTTGTTTACTTTTTTGTTTACCTTTGTGTCTATCTGATATCTATATACATTGAATTTAAATTTTAGTGAACGGTAAAGTCTGAATGGCGTATTGAGAGGTCATTGTGAAAGAACACGTTATTCAGTGCGCATGCGTTACCTTCATACTTGAACAAAACCGAACTTTGGGATCAAAATTACGTGGAATAGCCAGTCAAATGACATCATTCACCATAAGAACGTTCTTTCCAATTGGTATAGCAAACATTCAAAACTCCAAAGGCTACTCATGCTTGAAATGTATATTAAAACATCTCAAGCTTTATAAGTGCATCAACAGTAATTCTACTTCATCATTGGTCAGTTCACTAAGAAGTCACGTGATAAAGAGCGAGGGAAATCAGAGCGCTCAGTCCGTGTGTTTGGTTTGCAAAAAAAAAATTCTGTCAAAAAATGGCTGGAACTGAAAAAATACTAATATCGCTCTCTCAGAAGAGGAAGACGAATCTTCAATGAATGTGAACAATGAAATACTCTCTGGTATTTCTCTGCTGAATGCAAATAAGATTGATGTATGCGAATCGCTTTCTACGGCAGAACCTGTCAGAAAGAGACAACTAGCAGTAGACGATGATGAATTGACTAGTCAAAAATGTGGTCAAGAAGCAGATGCAGATGAACTGCTGTACCAGCTGACGAATAAACGATGAAAAGTTGTTAATAACGACAACAACGAAGGGAACGTCTCTGAACATATCGATCAACCCGAAGACTCTCTGCAAGAGGAAATTGCACAGGCTATCATGAACGACGATGAAAAAGCTGCTGCAGAATTCTTAGAACAATTGGTCAAATTTATAAATTCTCGTTGATTGACTAAGCTGGAATTTTGCGAGAAACTTGATTCTTCACTTACGTCCGGTTAACTGCGAGCGATTCATCACCACCAAAGTCAACCCAGAAATCCGGGTATTTATTTATTACTGAACACTTAAACCATTTTTTAGTACTGTTCGATTTACACTACAAGCTGCAGTTAATGAAAGATGTACAACGTTAAAACTTAAGTACATTAACGTAACTCTATATTGAGAAATGCGTAACTTCCGAAATGTTTAACAGTCCGACAGAAAATCTCGTGTCGAATATCTGTAATCTTCAAACACATAACATTAAAATCCGTAGTTTTGAGGTGCTTGCATCAACTATGGCCATTTAAATTTCCGACCACCATCCAAAATTTTCCGACAGACACATATCCAAGCGTGGCCTCCCAACCCCACCTTTAGTTACGATACTCTTGACTGGTCAGAAAAGTGAGGGAGGACAAAGCCACTGGTCTGATTGTTGTTCCATTTTGACCCACAAAAATTTTGTGGCCCTCCTTATTGAACATGCTTATGCAATATCCAGTGCTTTTACCAAAGGCAACAGAACACATTGATTCAGCACAGCGATCCACAAGCAAGACACCCATTGATTAACAAACTGGATTTATTATGTTGCCACTTGTCAGGAGTCACCTCCTCAACCGATTAATTTCTGAAGGGGCTACAGGGATTATCTTAGCGTCATGGCGCCACGGCACACAAAAACAGTATTACACATACTTACAACGATTGGAAAAGTTCTGCTGTTGGAGGAAAATAATCCAGTTTGTGCAACTTTGGAATGGCATTGAATTCCTTTTAACTGAATGTCAACGAGGTTTATCACACAGTGCTTTAAATACCATTAGAATTCCAATTCCTACAGTCAGTTTTCCTCATGATCAATCATTTGGCAGCCATCCATTAGATTCAAGATATCTAAGAGGTGTTTTTTAACTCCGATCTTCTCTTCTAAAACATCGAATGACATGGAATGTTTTTGCTGTATTAAACTATTTAGGAACAATGGGCCCAACAATGCACTCACATTAAAAGTGGAATGCAACAACTGAATGACGAAATTTTACGCTTGAGGTTAATAAGATATTAAAGATCTCTAAATCTGGAAAGCATATTCAACCATTAGTTTTTAAAACATACTCAGCTGATGAAGAATATTTACTTATGACAAACCTGGTGAGAGACAGTAATGAGAAACTTCGGCTTAGTTTCAACAAACCATACAAACCTGTAAAGAAAAACACTGTCGCACGATGGCTTGAACTTGTTAGCTGTAATGAGGAATGCTGGAATTGATAAAACCTGTTTCAGTACACATAGCACTCGTTTTACATTTACATCTGCAGCAGCAGGTACAAATCGATGGATGGGCCAATGAAACTACTTTCAGTAGATTTTATAAGAAACGTATAGAACAAGATGAACAACCTGATTTTGAAAACGTTTGTTATCTTCTCGGATTATGAAAAAGTATATATCCCACATTATTATTGTATGAGCTGATTCATTCCTTTCAAAAATCCGAAAAGTGAATGCTCTATATCTCGCGCTTTATCGCACGTGACTTCTTTGTTCCTGACTACTGACTCGTGGAATTCAAATCAAACTTCACCTTAAAGGCATACACGTGAGCCTTGTTTAAATTATAAATTATCCGTCACGGAGTCACAGGCTATGTGAAGATATGGAATGAATATATTCTGAGAAGTTTCTGGGCCATTTGTGTCACAGGTGTGCTAAGAGTTTTTTGCAACTTT